ATTGCTACACAACACTAAAAGATGCTTAGCAGTCTTTACCACAAGCAGTTGTCGAACACTCTGACAACTGCATGATTTACCTTGTACTGCTTACAGACAAAGATAATGAAACCAACAATTAAATCAGTGAAGACTTGGACTGAGGAGGCAAAGCTAAAGCTACAAACTTGCCTTGATTGCACTGATTGGAATGTTTTTGAAGATACCTGTGCAGACCTAGATAAGTTCACAGATACTGTAACATCATATGTCAGCTTCTGTGAAGACTTATGTGTATCAACAAGGAACCTGCAAATATATAGTAACAATAAACCTTGGTTTACAGCTAAACTTAAGCAGCTACGTCGTTCCAAAGAGGAAGCCTACAGAAAAAGTGACAGAGTGCTATACAATGAGGCCAAGACCGTATTAGCTAGAGAGATCAGAGCAGCAAAAAGAAGCTACTCTGAAAAATTAAGTATATCAGTTCACAACAAATGAATCAGCAAGCATGTGGAAAACTATAAAATATCACTGGCTACAGCAAACCTCCTTCCCAGGCAGAAGGAAATCAACAACTAGCAGATGACCTGAATGTGTTTTTCTGCACGTTTGAAAAGAAACTACAGCTACCTATCTCCACAACCACCATCTCAGACACACCAACAGACAAACCTCCTACAATTGACTCCTTCTCAAACACATCAACAACAACCACAACTGACCCCAACCCATTGGGTTCACAACTTCTAGTGATCACAGAAAAAGAAGGGCATGATCTATTTCACAGACAAAAGCCAGGAAAAGCACCAGGCCCAAACAAGATAACTCCTTTTTGCTTAAAAGTCTGTGCTGACCAATTGGCCCCCATCTTCACCTGAATCTTCAATACTTCACTAGAGATGTGGTATGTATCTTCTTGCTTCAAATGCTTTACTATCACCCCAGTGCTGAAGAAACCCTCCATCAGGGAACTGAATGACTACAGACCTGATGCTCTAACATCAGTAGTTATGAAAACTTTTGAAAGGCTAGTGCTGTCCCACTTGAAAACCATCATGGATCTGCTGTAAGATCCCCTGCAATTTGCATACCGAGCAAATAGATCAACAGACTATGCTGTTAATATGGCTCTGCACTACATTCTACAACACCTTGAATTTCCAAATATCTATGCAAGTGTTCTCTTTGTAGACTTTAGTTCAGCATTCAATACCATCATTCCAAACATTCTCCTAACTAAACTAAACCAGCTAGCAGTACCTGAACACACTTGTAAGTGGATCATAAACTTCCTAACAGACAGGAAGCAGCAAGTGAAGCTAGGCAGAATCACATCAGATACCTGTACAGTTAGCATAACCCGCCCCCAAGGCTGTGTGCTTTCTTCACTTCTCTTCTCCCTATATACCAATGACTGCATCTCAGATGATCTGTTCTTTAAACTATTGAAGTTTGTAGATGATACAACTCTGGTTGGTCTCATTCGAGACGATGACAAATCCGCATACAGATGGGAGGTTGTACAACTTGCCTCTTGGTGCAACCGGAACACTCTGGAACTGAATTCATTCAAAACCGTAGAAATGGTGGTAGATTTTAGGAGAAACCCTTCCACACTACCACCAAATTTCTAGGTTCTATCATATCTCAAGACCTAAAATAGACACCTAACATCAAAAACATCATCAAAAAGCACAACAAATAATGTTCTTTCTGTGCCAACTCAGAAAGCTCAAACAGCCCAAGGAGCTGCTGATACAGTTCTACCGAGGAATTATTGAGTCTGTCATCTGCACTTCTATAACTGTCTGGTTTGGTTCTACAATCCAACAAGACAGATAGACTTCAGTGGATAACTAGAACTGCAGAAAAAACAATTGTTACCAACCTGCCTTCAATTGAGGACCTGTATAATGCTCAGTCAAAAAGAGGGGTGTGAAAATATTTACAGGCCGCTCACATCCCAGACATAAACTGTCTCAACTCCTACCCTCAAAATGACACTATAGAGCACTGCACACCAGAACAATTAGACATAAGAATATTTTTCCCCAGAACACTATCACTCTGCTAAACAAATAATTCTCTTAACACTGTCAAACTATTTACTAAGTCTGCATCACTATTACTATTACTATTCATTTTCTCATCCTTCCTTTCACCCATCTCCTCCCACTTATGACTGTATGAATGTAACTTTGTTGCTTGTATCATGATGATTTTTAAAAATTGACTGTTTACTAGTATAATTTGATTTGATCGCTTATTATTATGTTTCCTGGTATGATTTGATTGCTTATTTGTACCCTTTGACTATTAAGTGCTATACCTATGATTGTTGACCAATGTATTTTTTTCCTTTTAATGAACACTGAGAGCATTTGCATCAAAACAAATTCCTTGTGTGTCCAATCACATTTGGCCAATAAAGAATTCTATTCTATTTTAAGATACAGTCAAACAGTTCCACATTCTAAGAATTGAAAAAATAGAGACCAATATACAACCAGACACAAAAAGAGCTGGCACCATGCTAGAGTAAGACAATACAGACATTTCCTCAGATTCCTACAATATTTGAAGAGGTTTGCTCTTAAGTTAAGAGGTTATATCACTTTGCCATTAGCAGAAAATATTTTTAAGCAGAAATAATTTTTTTTTCCTGATTTTTTCTTTTACAAAATCAGCCAGCCATGGCTATACTTTTCTTTCTAGCAGATTACATCCAAGAATACTCTGATGTTTACATTCTGAAGATATTAAGCATATACTCAGAAATATGTGACTGGAGTAACTGTGATTAATGCTACCAAATGACCAACATCTGATAAAAGTACTTAAATTGTGGCATTTACATAATAACTTCATCATTTGCCTCCAAGAACAAGACCTCAATCCCAGGTATATTAAAGTGAAATAGACACCCATTGAGTTTTTATTGTTGTTTTTATAATTATTTTACATTTATTTATAGTTGCTTTTATATTTATTTTAATAGAAACAAACCCCAATTTACAGTACAGTCAGAATTAACATTTTACAGTCCTGCTCATGTAACTTCTTTGAAAAGAAATATGGCATATTGGAATCATTGCACTGATTTTCTTTCCATTAGTGCAGATAAAAATGAGTGCTGAGTTTGCCCAGAGCAATGCACTGATTTCCTTGTATTCAGGTCTATTTGAAGATATCATTTCGGGAAAAAACTGCAACAATTTTGATGTCTCTGATATCTTTTTTATTTATTTATTAGATTTGTATTGCCACCTGTTCACCATGGTGACTCAATATCTGCTATATTTTTGGTTGCACCTATGCATGTATGCACAAACACACTTATTTATTCCTCTACTCTCTCTATCACTCATACTCCCAGAGTTAAGGTGTGGGGAGGGGAGATTTATAGAATTTTTGTATTGATTACTATCCAAGCACCAGCATTCCTTAATAAAAACCCAAAGTGCCATTTTAATTGTAGCTGCTGTAATAAAATTTGAAAGTCATTTAATTATTTTTTCTCCCTTCCTTTTCTTTTATTTGTATTGTTTCCTGCACCAAGAGGTATGGTGCCATATAATGAGATTTGGCTATATCTCCCTTTCTTATGTCATGCTTTTTATCTTATGGAATCATGTTGTTGGAAGTGATTTTAAAGGTCTAATCTCGTCTTTCTCCTCTTTGAAATAACTCCAATTTTGGGCAGTTCTTTCATATTACAGATGCAAAAACCTGTTCTCTTGTCATTTTGACTTCAGACCCATAATTAATTATTGCAATAGCTATACAGTAAGTGAAGAAAGACAAACATTTTCTACTGAATTATTAAACAATAGTCAAAAGATGAGTGATCATTTAAACTGGTGGAGGACTAAGATAATAAAGTAAATCAGTACACTGCCCTGTCAAATTGGCACTTGGCATTCTTAAGTCAATGCATCATTTAGAGAGAGAAATGTGCATCCGGTAGGGAACAGTGTAGCAACACAGTGGAGGAAAAAGGTAACGGCTGTCCAATTCATCATGGCACCTGAGCAGCAGAAACCTAGATTTGAGATTTTTCCCATAATTATGAGAACTAGTAACCAGCTTTACAAACATTTAAAATTTCAAAACTATCAGTGCTAACCAGGGCAGTGTTTATAAAATAAAAAAACCCATATATCTCTGAAAAACCATATGAGCTTTAGTAAAAAAAATACAAATGTTTCATTTCTGGCATACTTTTTAATTCTTGAAAAAGTCACATCTTTATGAATATTAGTGCAAACATATTAGAAAGAGGCATTAAATATGAAAAAGTTAAATATAAAAGAATTTGGTCTTCAAAGCCTCATATGCAAACTGGTGTAAAAGAGTGAGGAACTGTTCAGGACTATTAAAAATAGGCAGAAAAAATATGGTAAGGATGATGGCTTTTGTAAAGTTACATGGAAACCAAGAAACAGGCAGGGGTTGTCATGTCCAATTCTTTTTTTTTTTTTTTGAACAAATTTTATTGATTTTCCAAAACAATACACAGACAAACAAAACATAAAATATAATGACATAGGATTTTTTTTTTCTTAAAAAGCCAGTACAACAACTTATTTAAAGACAGAATTATTCCAAGTTATCACATTTCCAAACAAGCACAATTTGATATATATATTTACCTTATCTGTTCATCTTCATATCTTATCCCAAACTTCTCTTTATTACTTCTTTTCCTTCTATTTATTCAAATTATATCTCTTTAACTTTAGATTGTATACATTTTTTATATCCATCTGTCTTATACATTTTCATTATTCTCTTCCAATAAAAAACAAACAAACAAGACATAAAACATAAAAACATAAACATCTTTTCTGAAAGTTGCTTGATCCCAGGTTAAAACTCATCATACAGACACCTCTTCAAAAATCATGTTCCTTTTATATATCATTCCATATCTTATTACCGTTTTCCATTTTCTATATAGCTTCTTCCTTTTTTTAACTCTCTTAATTTTATTCTACTCATCTCAGTTCAAATCATGTCCAATTCTTAACATCAGAATTCTTCCATCTCCTGGCTCCATCCCATGTACAATTTTGATTTGTTTGAATGATTTTGATTAGCTCTTTCAAAGATCCCCCCCCCCCCAAAAAAAAGTATCCATGTTATTATTTATTTATTATTGACAATAGCTCAAACATAGAATTGACAGTCTGTGCAGTTAGAAGGCATTGTCTTGTTATGGACTTATTCGTTTCTTAAATATTCAAGTTGATCTGCTTTAGAAAAATATGAAGAGGGTGGGCAAGAGGTGTATCAACCTCAGGGTGAAGCTCTGCTGTTAAATCATTCAGTTGGTATGATTCTTCCCAGAGAGGAAGAAAGATCTAGCTGCTGGTGTGCTCGGTCTCAGTTTTGAAATCCCATTCCAGAACATCACAGGCAATAAAAACATCATTGGAACTTCTTGGTTTATTTTATTACTGACTGTACCCACTGGTGTTTTTTGTTTGTTTGCTTGCTTGCTTTTTGTTGCTAAATATTCAGCAATTTTAGGATGATTCAATGGTTTTGAAGGAGACAACAATTCTGAGTTTATTCTATATCTCTTCTTTCTTTTGTTCATTTTCTTACTGTCTCTTGTTTGTTTTCATAGTGGTACATAAAAGAGCTCATGAAATAAATAAAGCAGTCCATAACTATTTAAAATTCCATAATAAATTAGAACATGATATGAATAAAATAAAAACAGTTGAAAAGCAACATAAAACCAATTACAATTCAGCAAAATTGATAAAAGGAGGTAACGTATGAATTGGATTGAAGAGAGGCTGCAGAGGTACTTTCGTGTTGTCACCTTTCATCCTTGAAAAAATTACCTCTGACTCCTTTCAAGATTCAAGCCTAGAAGTTTCTGAAACAAAGAATAACAAGTAGGAATTGTTTAATCTGGTTCTGATGTAACTAAACTTAAATCAGGAAGGCAAAATACATTGGCTACACTAATACACTTACCTCAGAGCTACAAGGAACGGATTGAAAAGAAATTGTTCCCACAAGATGAGGTTTCTACTGTTTTCAAAATTGAATTCAATTAAACTAAATAAAAATACATTTTTATTTCTTTTATTTTTTAAGTCATTAAATTTAATATTTTTTAAAAAAATTGTAAAAGAAAAAAGAGATCCAGTGACTAAAATTAAACCAATTTGTTACCAAAAAATAAAAAGCAATTTATAAAACTATTTTTTTAAAAAACTGAACTTTTGTATTTTTTTAAAATAAAAAAAATGTAAATCTTTAAGACTTACATTTTTAAAAGAAAGGACCCAAAGTTAGTAATTGAGAATTCACAACTTTTCTATACCCTTTCACAATTACTCAGAGCTGAGAGGGGTTTTTTATTCCTTTTATTCCTTTCGCTTCTTCCCTCTGTGGAATACAAACTATATCTTGAGGGCAATTTGAATTGCATTTGATGTATTACATTTAAAGTTCACTTCAACATTACAGGTCGCAAAATGTTAACAATGAAGTTAAAACCAGAGGATGCAGTATTGAAAAACATGTTTAAATTTTAGTGGACTAGCGAAATGTTGTGGACAAAGTGTTCTTGGATTCAATAAGGCATTTGACAAATTAGACCACAACTTATTTCTTGATAAAATAGAAAAATGTGGGATAGATAGCTTCACCACCAGAGGGGTTTGTAGCAACCGGACTCAATGCATAGTCCTCAATGAAACTACATCTACATGAAGGAAAGCATGCAGTGAAGTTCTCCAAGGTTCTATCTTAGGGCCAGCACTATTCAACATGATTTGGATGAAGGGATAAAAGGAGAACTCATCAAATTTGCAGGCAATATTAAGCTGGCAGGAACAGGCAATACTCCAGATGATAGGCTGAAGATTCAGAAAGATCTTGACAGATTTGAACACTGGGGGCTATCCAGGGGTGGGATTCAAATTTCTTAACAACGGGTTCTGTGGGCATGGTCAAATTTGTGGGTGTGGCTGGTGTTCATGTGGCTGGGCGTGGCTTGTATATAAATATTGTAAATATATATGTAAAGATTGAAATTTTTTATTTTAAAAAGAGCAACTTTTACCCAAAATCAGGCAAAGCAGGCAGGCAGATTGAGCTGCTTGCAGAATCACAGCTTTACTCCCAGATCTACCTTTCTGCAATCTTCTGCCTGAGTCTGCACTGAAAAATAGAAGCTTCAATCCTAAGGAAGATTCAGCTCTGCTCTCAGGCCACTTCACCTTCCCCCAACCCTCTGAATGCCACCCCTGACTGGGCCTCAGGAAAGACTCCTGGGTGGGGTGGGTGGGGAGGGGAGGGGCCAGCCATGGTATGATTTGCCGGTTCTCCGAACTGTGCAGAATCGTAACAACCGGTTCTATAGAACTGGTCTGAACTGGTAGAATCCCACCCCTGGGGCTATCCAGAAAAATGCAATTCAGCTGCATGAAAAGAAAAGTTTTACACAGGCAAAAAAGTCCAAATGCACAGATACAGAATAGAATATAGAATATACTGTACTTGGCTCAACAGCAGCAACTATGAAAGGGATCTAGGAGTCTTAGTGGACAGCCACTTAAGTATGAATTAGCATTGTGCTGCAACTGCCAATAAAGCTACTGCAGTCCTAGATGGCATCAACAGAGGAATAATGCTATGATCACTTGAAGTGTTAGTACTGCCTTGCTGAGGCCACACTTGGAACAATGAATCCAGTTCTGATCACCATAACACAAAAAAGATGTTGAGACTTTAGAAAGAGTACAGAGAACAGCAACGAAGAGGATTAAGGGTCTGGAGGCCAAAACATATCATGAATGGTTGCAATAACTGAGAATGTCTAGTCAAATGAAAAGGAGGACTAGGGTGACATGATAGCAGTTTCCCAATATTTGAGAAGCTGTCACAAAGAAGAAGAGAATTAGCCTTTTCTCCAAAGCACCTGAGGGCAAGACAAGAAGTAATGGATAGAAGCTAATCAGGGAGAGATCCAACCTAGAACTAAGGAGAAGGTTCGTGCCAGGGAGAACAATTAATCAGTGCAATGGCTTTCCTCCAGTAGTTGTGGAGGCTCCATCACTGGAAGATTTTAAGAAGAGACTGGACAGTCATTTGTCTGGAATGATAAAGAGTCTCCTGTTTGGATTAGATGACCTCCAGTGTTTCTTCCAACTCTTGTCATTCTGTATTTATTCCCCTCTCTGTTGTGCTTTATTGAACAGTGATGCAACATTCCTCACCTTCACGTTCTTCTCTTTTTCCCATACTCTCCAATTCAGATTTAGTAAGTGACTTTCTTTCTTATTCTGGCAACTCAGAACTCTCTTTCAAATAGGAAAAGTGAAAACAAAAAAGGAACCATTCGAAACTCTAACCATACTTTTAATCACAATGATTTATCAGCATAATTTTGAGCACAATTATGGTTGTAAGTCTACCTGTACTTATTTTGGACTCTGGTCTCTCTCCAATCTTTCATTTTTAAGGAAGATTATTCAGAGAATAGTGGCATACAGTTTGATTGATTAAGATTCAATTGTTTTAGAAGATGCTTAGAACCTTCCAATAAACTAACAAATGAAAGTAAAAAAGCAAACATTTCAAAAGAAACTCAAAAGCATATTTATGCAAGGGGAGGTTATTATGCAAATGCAACAAAAATACAAACTTATTACCTTCCTTATAATTTCCTCTTGCATTCTTTGCTGCAGATTCTGATTCATTAAAGGTTCTTTTTCTCCGTGTTTTCAGATACTTCACTAATAGAAAACAAAAGGAGCCAAATGAGAATAAACCATTAAATAGTACTTATTAAAGAGAATTCTGATGATAAAATACAGTAAATGTTTGCTCTTTAGTTTGCTTTTAATGTTGATGTTTACATGTTTCAAAAATTAGTATGTTTCACGCAGGATTGGGGCCAGCCTAATGTTTTAGAAAATGATGTCCCCAAAAGCAGGTGCTGCTGCAGAAAGGCTCTCCTGTGTCCTCTCAGATGACATTCCTTGGTAGATGGGAGCCATAAAATGCCTCTCCTGCAAGACCTGATGGGTAGATGTAACTGGGGAGAGATAGTCACCCCCAGCCCATGTATGGCTTTATAGGGTATTGCCAACACCTTAAATTGAACTTGAAAGCAAACTGGCAGTCAATGCAGCTCATAGCGCAGATGTGTAATGTGTACTGATCAAGGAATGAGCACAACTGTCCATGCCACTACATTTTGCACTGGCTATAAGCTTCTGGATGCTTTTAAAGGCCAGCCCTATATAGCATGCATTTCAATAACCTATTCTGGAGGTGAACAGGGCATGAATGACTTAGAACCTTTTTATCTAGAAATGGGTGCAACTGACACCCATTTATGACATCCATAAAGTCAAGGAAACAATCAATCCACTAATGGGAGAAGATGGCAAGGAAGTGATGGGCAGCAAGGAGAAAGTTGAGCTGCTTAATTCATTCTTTGCATCTGTTTTCACACACACACACACACACACAAAATAGCCCAACCTATCAAAATCAGAACCACAAAAGACAGCCTAGGAATACAATTTAAAATAGGCAAGAGAATGGTAAGAGAACACATGTCCACCCTAGATGAGTTCAGAGCATCAGGACCTGAAGGAGCTGGTAGACATGATCTTGGAACCATTAAACCATATCTTTCAAAGATAAAGCACTGGAGAAATACCAGAGGACTAGAAAAGAGCTGATGTAGTTCCCATCTTCAAAAAAGAGAAAAAAATGGATCCAGGAAACTACAGCCCAATCAGCCTGAAATCAATACCTGGGAAAGGTATTGAATACTGGAAATACTGGAAAAGATACTGGAAAAGATAATCAAGCAACTAGAAGCTAAGTGATCATGTGAAACAAATCTTATTTCATTCTTTGACTAAATAACTAAATTAGTGGATCAATGAAATGCTATGGATATATTGTAGCATAGTTGGATTTCAGTAAGGCATTTGGCAAAGTAAACCACAACCTACTTCTTGGTAAGCTAGAAAAATGTGGGATAGACAGCATCATCAATATATGGATTTGTAACTGGCTGACAAACCACACTCAACATGTAGTCCTTAAGAGAAATACATTTACCGTGTTTCTCATATAATAAGGCTGGGTCTTATTTTTTTTTGAACCCCGAAAAAATGGCTAGGCCGTCTTTTCGGGGGTGACTTAATTCCCCCCCTTGCATCTTCGAGCGGGTGGCAACGGCTTGGATGTTGATCTGGGCGTTGGTGGGGCACTTCGTATTGGGGTCAACGCAGGCAGCACCATATCCGGGTGTGCAACAAAAGTACTTCCTAACGGCAAGCCCCTGCCACCATTCCCCCCATTTCGCATGTTTTAATATAGGCCTTAATTTGGGGGGAGGGGCTTAATTTCATTTCATGCCTATGAAACATGCTGGGACTTCCTATTGGGGGAGGCCGTATTGTTGGAGAAACAGGGTACATGGAGGAAGTAAGCAGTCAAGTACCCCAAAGTTCTGTCTTAGGCCCAGTACTATTCAATATTTTCATAAATGATTTAGAGGGAATAGAAGGGGAATTCATCGAATTTGCAGATGACACCAAGCTAGAAGGAATAGCCAACACCAAGATCCGTAAGGATCTCAATAGATTTGAACACTGGGCCCTATCTAATTAAATAAAATTCAATGGAAAGAAAAGTAAGGTTTTACACTTAGGCAAGAAAATCAAATGTGCAGGTATAGAATTGATGAAACCTGGCAACTGCGAGAGAGATCTTGGAGTCCTAGTGGTAAAAGTCATGTCTGACTCTCTAGGGCATAGTGTTCATCTCCGTTTCTTCGCTGAGAGAACCAGAATTGTCCAAATATATTTCCATGCTCATGTGGCCAGGATGGGTATGCACCAAAAGCACATGGAACCACTGAAAAGCACCCTTCCCAGTGAAATGGCACTATTAACCTACTTGCATTTACATGCCTTTGAACTGCTAGATGGGCAGGAGCTGGAGCAGGAATGGGAACTCACCTCCTTGCATGGTGCTCTGGTTTTGAACCCAGGCTATCAGCTTATCAACTGATAAGCTCAGTGTCATTAACCACTGAGCCATAGACAATCACTTAAGTATGAGCCAGCAGTGTGCTGCAGCTGTCAAAAAGCCAATGCAATCCTAAGCTGCATCAACAGATGGATAGAATCAAGATCATGTGAAATGTTAATACTGCTTTATAATGCCTTGTTAAGCATTATAAGTGTGGTTAAACATCCAGTTTTGGTCCCCACAAAAATACAAAAGATGTTGAAAACCAAGAAAGAATGTAGAGAACAACAACAAAGAACAAAGAGGGCTGGAGGCTAAAACGTTGGAAGAATGGTTAGGGTTAGGTAAAATTCTTGTTATAAACATTGGCAGGGCATACATTAAATAGAAATATTTCCAAAAAATATGGGAACTCGGAGGCTTGTTATGTTATGTGAGACTGTCAAGATTTTTTTCTTCTGCAGTGGTCTGTCACCTGCCCAGTTTAAGCACAAGGGTGCTTGTAGAGAAGGGGAAGGGGAGTTTAAAAGTCTTAGAATTATTTTTTTTTTTTAGAAAAAACTTTATTAATTTTACTTTTAAAAGAAAACAACACAGCTACAAATTATGTACAACAAAAAGACAAACAGGTCTTGGCATAGGCCAAGAGGGAAAGAGAGGAAGGCTTGAGAGAGGAAAGCGGGAAAGGTAAGGGAAGTGGGGGAAGAGTAGGGAAAACAATTGTAATAAAACCATATTTTTTGTGACTGTCTGTAAGGTCCTTTCTTCTTCAAAACTATCATTGGCAGTGCTTTTCTTTATCTCTGCTTCGGAGGCCCTTGGCCTTGATTTTCCTAGAGGTGATCTATCTTTGGTTTAGCCTATTATACAAAGGATTCCAATTGTTATAATAGGTTGAGGATTCTTTATTTTTTAATGCTTGGGTTAGTTTGTCCATTTTGGCGCATTGTAAAATTTTCTGAATAACCATAAGTTCAGTGGGGATAGAAGGTAGTTTCCAGCACTGGGCAAATGCCAGTCTGGCCATGGTTAAGATATGGATTGTAATATACTTAGATTTTTTGGATATTTGCTTATCAAAAATTCCTAGAAGGAAGGACTCTGGTTTGTACTCAATTTGTTCCTTGGTTATTTCCTCTAGCCAGCGCCTAATTTTTTGCCAGTACTTCTGGGTTTCCTTGCATGACCACCACATGTGGAAGAAGGTACCTTCTATGTTTTGACATTTCCAACATTTGGGGCTTGTGTTGGAGTGCATCTTCGCCAATCTCGAAGGGGGCAGGTGCCATCTATAAAACATTTTATATGAGTTTTCTTTATAAGCTGCTGATTTCATGATCTTAATGTTCCTGTTCCAGATCCTTTCCCATTCTGCTAGGGTAATGCTCTGACCCACGTTTCTGCTCCACGCAATCATATTTCCTTTGACAATTTCTTGTTCTAGTTCTGTTTCTAATAAATGTTTGTAAAATTTAGATATATTTTTTTTACTCGGTCCTAATAGAATTTTGTCTAAAGTCTGTAATTTATTGTAGATTCCAAATTCCTTAATGTCTTGTTTGTATCTACTATGAATTTGAAGGTACACCCACTGATCAATTATAAATCCTCGCTCTTGTAATTCTTGTCGTGTTTTCAGCTTTCCTTGTGGGTCTAATAAATTTTCGTACTTAATCATTTTAGTTATGTCCAAATTATTAGGGTGTACTATCGCTTCCATTGGAGATAGCCAAATCGGTATTTTTAGATAGAGTTTTTTACGTACTTTTTTCCAATTAGTTAATAAAGAGACCCTGATAAGATGCCTATGGAAATATGATTGTCTGGGTTTCATAGTTTCCCACAGAAAGGCATGCCATCCTTTCTGCATATCGTGGCCTTCTAATACTAGTGTTCTTTTGTTGGTTAGATTCACCCAATCCTTTATCCATAGTAGGGTGGCTGCCGTATGATATATTTCCCAGTTTGGCAGGGCTAACCCTCCTCTGCTTTTCGAATCTTGTAGGGCTTTTACATTAATCCTAGCTTTTTTCCCCTGCCAAATAAATTTCAACATTATCTTGTTTAATTCCATAAAAAAAAATTTATTTAATTTGATTGGAATTGTCTGGAATAAATATAGAAATTTTGGCAGAATATTCATCTTAATCAAAGCAATCCTGCCCAATAAGGAAAGTTGTAATTTACTCCAGGAATCTAAGTCTTTCTTGGATTGTTGGAGAAGTTTGTCATAGTTGTTTTCTTTTAATGATTTGCTTTGTGGAGTTAGCCAAATTCCTAAGCATTTAATTTTTTTTGTCACCTGTATTCCCATTGTTGTCTCTAGCTCTTTATTCTGGTCTCCTGTTAAATTTTTAGTCATTAATTTCGTTTTTCCCCTGTTAATTTTAAATCCTGCGACTTCTCCAAATCGTTCTAGTTCTTCTAATAAGTTATGTCCTTTTTCTATGGGCTCCTCCAGAAAAAAAACCAAATCATCAGCGAAAGCTTGTACTTTATACTCTTCTGATTTGATCCTCAGTCCTCTAATTCTCGAATTTTGCCTAATGTACATCAAAAGAGATTCTAGGGCGAATATGAAAAGCAGAGGGGAGAGAGGGCAACCCTGTCTTACCCCTTTTTCTATTTTTATCGGGCCAGTTTGTTCCCCATTTATTAGAATATTTGCCTGTTGGGTGTGGTAAATTGTAGTGACGACGTTTTCAAATCTGGTGCCGAGGTTCATATTATATATTTTTTGAATTAAGAAATGCCAATTTAAATTGTCGAATGCTTTTTCAGCGTCCAAAAACATAAATGCAAATTGTTTTTCCGGATGGGCTTCATAGAATTCTGAAATGTCTATCACTGTTCTTAAATTATTCTTAATTTGTCGAAATGGGAGAAATCCACTTTGATCTTCATGGATATATGTGTTTAAAACCTGTTTTAATCTATTGGCTATTATAGAAGAGAATAGTTTGTAATCTGCATTCAGGAGCGAAATTGGTCTATAATTATTAATAAGTCTGTGGTCTAGGTCCTCCTTCGGGATCAGCGAAATTAAGGCTCCCCTCCACGAGTCCGGCATCATGGTTGCTAAGAGTACCTCATTAAATACTTCCAGCATCAGTGGTCCAATTTGTTCTATGATTGTTTTGTAAAGTTCTACCAGTATCCCGTCCGGTCCTGGCGCTTTATTGTTACTTTGCTTCTCTATTGCTGACTTCAGTTCGGACAATGTTATATTTTTGTTTAATAATTCTATCTCTTCCTCTCCAATTGCTTTATCATTCGCTTCCTCCAGGTATTTCATTATTTTATCCTCACAGACTTCTTCTTTTTTGTATAATTTCCCGAAGTATTTAAAAGTGATCTCTTTTTTCTTCTCTATCTCCTCTTGCAAATTGCCCCCCTCATCCATTAATTGGTGTATCAATCTTTTTTCTTTTGTTTTCTTAAGTTTGTGGGCTAACCATCTCCCTGGCTTGTTTGCATGCTCAAAGTAGATTTGTTTAGTCATTTTCAGACTAATCTCCAATTTTTCTTGTTCCAGTAAATTTAGTTTGTGTTTAGTTGTTGTTAACTGGTTCTGTATTCTTTGGTTTTTGGGGTTCTTTTGTAGTTGGGTTTCTAAATCCTTAATTTCTTGTTGTAGGCTACTTTGTTGGGCATACTTTCTTTTATTTCTCATAGCATTGTAAGAGATTGTTATTCCTCTTATAAATGCCTTCAATGTGTCCCATATATTTTGTTTCGAAGTTAGATCATTATTATTTTCCTTTAAGAACTTCAGTTCTTCTTTCAGTTTGTTAGTATATTTCTTCTTCTTTTATTAAATGAGTGTTAAGAGTCCATCTTTTCTTTGGTTTTCTTCTACCTCTCCAGGTTATTTGAATTGGGTTGTGGTCAGCCCAGTCATTTGGTAAGATTTTGCTATCTTTGATTTCATTAATTAATTCACCGTTTATCCAAGCCATATCTATTCTTGTCCAAATTTTGTGTGGGTTAGAATAATAAGTAAACTGTTCTTTTTTGGGGTTTAATTTTTTCCAGATATCTACCAGATTCATTTCATTCATCATATCCTTACATGGCTTAGAAAATTCTCTTTTTCCTTTTTTGTTCTTACTCCTGTTACTATGATCCTTCCGGTAGTCAGCAATAGAGTTAAAATCGCCAATCAGGAAAATATTGCCATTTTCAAAATCTATTATTTTTTGGTTGAGATGTTTGAAAAATTTATCTTGATCATCATTTGGGGCATAGATTACTACCAGTAAAAATGTAATGCCATTAATCGAGATTTGTACCACCAGAGTTCTTCCTTCAGGGTCCGCCCAGATTAACTCTGCTTTTAAGTCATCTCTCACATAGATTGCAATACCTTTCTTTTTGTGTTTATCTGCTGGTGCTGTGAATAATTTTCCCAGTTTCGGACAATCTAGGAATTTCTCCTCACTTTTCCTAATGTGCGTTTCTTGTATGCAAATTATATCAACATTTTGTTTTATTAGTTTGGTTGGAATCCTTTTCCTTTTAGCTCTTGAATTTAGGCTGTTTATATTGATGGAAAGAATTTTCCTTCCTTCGTCCATTTAGTTAAGTCTGCCTCGCTTTTTGTCTCGTAACTATATGGCTCTCTTCTTGTGGTTGATATGGGGTTGTTTCTTCTCTTTCTTGTTGTAAGTTGTCTTTCCCTTGAGTTTGGACAGATCTTTCTTCTTTGTTCCTATGGCGGTTACGATCTTCCTGCATGTTCCTTTGGGCTTCCTCCCTAGTGTGTTGATCCTCCGTGGTTGTTAGCTGTTCTAGGAAGTCTTGTGCTTGTTCTATTGAATCCATTTTAATTTTTCTTCCCTTCCACGATATTAGCATCCCTTCTGGGATTAGCCATTTGAATGAGATTTCTTTTTTATTTAAGTAATTGGCTAAAAATTTATATTCTTGCCTTATGGCCCTCACTTTTCTTGGAATCTGCTTAAGAACTATGATCTCTTTGCCCTTATATAATATTCTCTCATCTCTGGCCATTCTAAGTATTAGGTCTCTCACGCATCTTCTTGAAAAGCGGATATGGATCTCCCTTGGGCAATTGTGACGCCTTGCATAACTGGTGTTCACCCTATAGACTTCGTCGAATTCTTTGAGTAAGTCCTTTCTCTTTTTCAACTAGTTCAGCCAACAAACCTGCCATTAATTGCTCTAGTTCTTCATTTTTGGATTCCTCCACATTTTGGAACCTTAGGTATGCAGCTGCTCTGTCCATCTCAAGTTTGGACCAAGGAATCTTCCATTTCTCTATTAACATTTTTAAAGTCTTCCTCAGTCCTTTCTAGGTTCCTCTCCGCTTGTTCTGTCCTCCTCTCTATTTCTTTTATTTTTATTTCAGTTCTTTCCATGGCCAATTGCATTGTCCCAACCTTATCTTCAACTCTCTGTATATCTGCTCTCATCTCCTCTTTTAATTTATCCATTTCTTCCTTCAGTTCGCTAATATCAGCTCTGGTCTCATTGTGATTCCTAATCATAATCTCCTGCATTCTAGACATTGATTCTTGCAGGGATAATAATGTCACTTGTAGATTGGCATTAGTGACAGTCGGTTGTTTTAATCCTGTCAAGGTCTCTTCTATAGTTTTCTGCGTTGTTGGGGAGGCAGTTGCCAAAGTTGTCATCAAGATCTGGGTGTTCTTCCTTCCCATTTTCAGGGCCGTGGTTGTTGTGGAAGTCATCTCTGATAAGATTTGTTTTTGCAATTGGACAATGTTAAGAATATTATCCCAAATCACCATTCGATGTAATAGCCCTTTAAGTGTGATTACAAGTCTATTTGCTAAGCTTACACACCAAGTTATTTTAGATCTCTTTCTTCGGCCCAATCTGTCATTCAGGCAGGTTAAATTCCAATTCAATAGAGTGTTATCAGATACTATACAATACTATACAATAGATATTATACAATAGAATGTTATCAAATATTATGTATTATGTATTATATATTATTCTCTATATTAAGTTCATATACCAGAGTTAATTGTATTTTACCCCTAATAAATCATTACCATATCAAATCAAACTTGTTTAAAGCAAACAACCAACTCTAGAATTTCTCACTCTATATATACCTTTGTCCTATAATGTATATTAATATTTAAGGTTCCAATTAATCTGAGACAACCCTATTTAACAGACCTTAAAAATTTTGTATATCCAAGAGAGTCTAATCAGTAAACCCTAATAACTATAACAAGCAGTTTGCCTTTATACTTGTATTTATAACTATTATAGAAAGAAAGGAAAGACCAAGAGAGAAAGGGAGAGAGAGAAAGAGTGCATGAGGAAAAGGGTCTTTTCAATTTTGGGGAATCACTAGACACGTATCTGTGGGATTAGTTCCATAGAAAAACAAGTCTGAGTTGGGGCTGGCGTTTTAGTCTTATAGTCTTTCCTCCTGGGCGCACCAAGGGAGCAGGGGGAGGAAGTGCTGACTGATTGCTGTCAGCGCTCAGCGCTCAGTCTTTGCCAGGCTTCCGTCTGTCTCTTCCTTCTTCTTCTTCCCTCTTCTTCTTCCCTTCTTAGAATTATTTTCAAGCTGTTCATAACTGTAGGTTTCCAAAGAAAGAACTAAAAGCAACAATTACAGCAGGTAGACAAAAGGAAGGATGATTTCTTTTAGCTTGACAGAAGATGTTGCTGTGAGGAGAGCAGATCAGATGGGACATGTAGCAAAGGAAGCAGGGAGCCAGACACACTATAGCCAAAAAGAAGAACCGGGAGGGAACCTGAGGCAGCGGAAGCCAAAGAAGAATCTGCAGAAAAGAGCCAGCAGAGAGAAAATGCAGTTCTGAAATCTAGGCAGTGGTAAAGCTAAGTTGGGAAGGAAGTGAAACACTGAAAGATTTTTATAGTATAAGCAAAGTAGCAGAAATTTAAGTAATTTACTTAAATTCTAAGAATTAAGGCATACATTGCATAATCTGCACTTGGTTACTCTAGATAAATGTGTTTACAAAATGTATACAGACAGCTTGTAAGTATAGTACTTTGTCCTATATTTACACAGTATTAAGCAGCTTTTCTTCTGCTTGCTAGCTGTCTGTGTGTGTGCCTGGGTCTGTGAACTTAGAACAAAATTCAGAATTCCATGTTTATTTCCAGAAAAAGAGTAATAAAAGTAGTCAAAGCAAAAAATTCACTTACTTATGTAGAAGTAAACTATCATTAGAACTGGAATTATTGCTATTGCAATTAATGATATTCTACTTCTTGATTGATGAACAGGTTCTTAAAAAGCAAATTTGAAAATATTATGTTGAAAGTCATTTAAAATCAGAAAACAGCCTTATGTTCATGTGCCCAAAATGTTAAATTTAGCTTTTTTCACTGAATCTTTCAAGTTTTCCAGACAACATAAATAAGTATTAATTATATTGCAACAGAATACAACTTATACCAAAAAATTCAATTAACAATTATTTAGATATGAACACAATAATGTACACATATAAAAGGAGGGAAAATGAGATTACATAATAATAGAAGAAACAAACATACAAATTGAAATGAGATAATTCAAACAAAGAATTGTCTCCTACAATCATAGAATTAGAAGGGGCTGTTTAGTGCTGAGTCCTCCTCCTGTCTTCCAGGGAATCTAAATTGTTGTCAGATAGTCCTCAACTTATGATCAGAATTGAATTGCAAACAAATTTTCTATTGTTAAGCAAGACTGTTGTTAAGTGAATTTTGTCCATTTTACAACCTTTCTTGAAGTTGTGAAGTGAGTCACTGTAGTTGCTAAGTTAGTAACATGGTTGTTGAGTGAATCTGGCTTCCCTTGACTTTGCTTGTCAAAAATTCACATTCACATGACCCTGGGGCACCGCAACTGTCATAAGTACATGACAGTTGCCAAGTGGCCAAATTTTGATCAAGTGACCATGAGGAAGCTGAAATTGTTGTAAGTGGGAAAATATTGCTTTTTTCAGTGCCATTGTAATCTCAAACAGTCACTAACTGAACTGTTGTAATTTGATGACTCCCTGTACTGCCATATTATTAAGACATCACTTCTGAGCCTATTTCTGTTATTCTCTTATTCCAGATTGGACAGAAAAAATCTATACACAGCTTCTTTTGGCTGGTAAACATCATAAGATAGTTCTTTCTGTTGTAAAATTTACATTGATAGCGTGTAGAATTCATGCATTGTTGATAGCAAAGTTAACTGTGCATATCTATAGGATTTTGTAACACTGTTGTGTGTGTTCTATCCTTTCTTTCAGTGAAATCTGGATGAGTGATTCATATAAAGTTTAAATTCAACTTTAATACACATGATATAGTGTAGTAATCAGTGGTGGGATTCACATTTTTTTACTACCAGTTCTGTGGGCGTGGCTTGGTGGGCGTGGCAGGGGAAGGATACTTTAAAATCTCCAGTCAGAGGTGGGATTTGCTGGTTCTCTGAACTACTCAAAATTTCCGCTACCGGTTCTCCAGAACTGGTCAGAACCTGCTGAATACCACCTCTGGTAGTAATGCCTAATGCCCTGCATGACATTTTGTACAAATGGGATAATACAAATGTCAAAAGGTGACAAGATACAGTAAATCTATGATGTCACAATTCAAACTCAGCATTTTTATATAACTCTGATGTACTTAAGGAAGGAGCTAGGCTTGTTTCATGATGCTACATCTCTTGTCATGTCTGTTTTGGTTTTTCCCATTGATGCCACTGCTTCTTAGACCATTTACTGACTTAAGACTATTTTAATTTACTGACACATTAAGAGCTATGAATCTGAAAGAGCAACCACGCAGCCATGGAAAGATAGAGAGCTATATGGCTCCTGCTAGAAAAGATTGTCATTGTATATCATTTTCAATATTACAGAATTAATATCTCAACAGAGGGACAAAACAGAATTGGTAATATTTCTGTTGATTTCTTTGTGCAGGAATATATATTTCAAATATTGCTTATATTTAATTTTTACCTTTTAAAAATATAGTATTTGCATTATACTCCCAACTCTTCCCCAAATTAAGGGATGACAGTCATAAAAAGGGAATTTTTGTAAATGGGTATTAGGATAGCCCAGAGTTTTAGTTGAAAATTTGCTCCAGAAAGAAGAAAAAGGTAATATCACTTTTACATGAAAATAGGGACTTAGAGAAATATTTTGCATGTTTTGAATATGTGTGTTTTCAAGGATGTTTGTATGTTTTATCATGTGCCAGCACATAACAGTGTTGATATGTATATTTTGAGTATTACCTACTGATTAATATATTCTGTATATTCAGAATATCATCAGTTCCCTTTTTGTGAAAGCAGCTTTTTATTTGTTATCTCTGGAAATAAAGATTCTGTTGATTTCATTGCTAATTTGTCTTTTTAAACTTTTAAATTTTTATACTTTAAACTATGACTAGAAAAGAAAATCATGGGTTTAAGAAATACTTTTTCCTATTGAAGCTTAGACCCTCAATTCTACAGCATCCATGTGAAAGAGGGAGGCAAACAGGTCAAAACGACAGCCTCAGTTATTTGATGAAGCCCCTCCCCTTTTAATGTGCCCTTTCACTTTAGATTCTTACATTCTTCATTTTTTTCCTTTTAGCCTAAATAGCAGTTTGCCTTTGCTTTTGTGGGAAATGAATATTTAGTGACTGAACATCTCCACAATGTCAGTCATCTCATAAATCTGAAAATAAACCATTGACAACAGATAGCCCTTGGCTTACGACCATTCATTTAGTGACCATTCACTTTTCAACAGCACTGAAAAAAGTGACTCAAGACAAGATTTAACAGATAATCAGAGTTGGAAGGGACCTTGTAGGTCATCTAGTCCAACCCCCCACCCAAGCGGGAGACCCTACACCATTTCGGACAAATGGCAGTCCAATCTCTTCTTGAAAGTCTCAAGTGATGGCACTCCCACAACTTCTGAGGGCACGTGGTTCCATCGGTTGATTGTTTTCATGCTTATATCCACCAGTCCTCACGCTTACATCCATTGCAATATTTCCTCAGTCATATGCTGAAAATTTCGGTGCTTAGCAACCAGCATGCATTTATGCTGATTGCAGTGTCCCAGGATCATGTAATCACCATTTGTGACCTTCCTTGCCAGCTTGCAACAAGCAATGTCAATGGGAGAAGCCAGACTCACATAACAACCTCGTGATTAACTGACAACCACTTAACAAACTGCACCACTTAGCAAAAAAGTTACAGAAGTTGGGTGCAATTCACTTAACAACTGTCTTGTTTAACCATGGAAATTCCGTCCTCAATGGTGGTCATAAATTGAGGACTATCTAACCTGACCATTACAACAGTGCTGAAAGCAATGACTTATGACTGGTCCTTGCACGTACAACTGTCATAGCATCCCTGCAGCCATGTTATTGTGATTTGGGTGCTTGGCAATCATCACACATTTACAACAGTTTCAGCATCCCACAATCATAGAAATTACCATTTGTGACCTTCCCAGCTGGCTTCCGACAAGAAAGGCAATGGGCAAGCTTACAGAGAAAATCACAAATCATGGGCACATGATGCCTTGTTTAACAACTGTGGTGATTTGCTTAATGACTGCAGCAACAAAAAAAAGGTCATAAAATTGGGTGCAGTCACATACTGACCATACTGTTCAACAATGAATTTTCCAGTATTTATTACAGTTTTAAGGCAAAGACTATAACCATAAAAATCTCCAAGCCTACCTTCTACCGGTATAATACAATCACTCAGATTGATGAAATTGCTGGCGTTTGAATTGGAAGCTACAACATAACATGTAATTTTCTGAAAATGGTTTGAGTTCCTCTGAAGCTGAATAACCGAATTCTTCACAGAGATTATTTCTTCATTTCTGCTGACATCCCAGGAGTATGCCAGAGGTAGATCCTGACTTGCTGATGTACAGTTTAATTGAATGGTATCATTGTTAACAGTGCAATTTATATCAGGCCGTACTGGAGATGCAAGAGAAGGACAGAGTGATAAATAAAATAGAAGTTTGAGTTACATGTATAAGGTTTACATGACAATATTTCTATGGCTTCCTTTAAATTAAGTTTTTAGCCAAACACACACACACACACACACACACACACACACACACACACACTTCTTAGAACAGGTACTCATTTTTCTACTCAAAATAAAAATATGTCTTTCAGCTCTCTCTCCTGATCAAAGTGCTTTCAAACTCTAAATTATTAAGTTGTGTGGACAAAGACTTTGTACATCAGTTAAATAAAACTGTTCATTGCATATGATTTTGTTTTTTAATGAACTGTTGGGATGGCACCAAGACCTAAACATTCACAGATGGCTTAATTTAGCTGCACGACTATCTGCCGGGCATTAAAAAACAACCATTAGTGAAGGAAACAATTAAGACTTATATGTAAAAATGTATTCAATAGACTCCTGGCATCTGATGTAATCACCAAAAGAAAATGCATGTTATTCAAGTGCGTATTACAACTTTTTTAGGCTTGATTATTTTGTTATAACATTTTTATATCATCAAATTACAGAATGTAATATTGATGTTTGCCATTTATCAGACCACAGTGTAATTACCTTGAAATGCGTATTTCAGAAACCAGATAAGACCAATCCCTGGTAGAAACTAATTTAACTAATTTAATTTAATGCCATTTAATTCTGTTTTTAATTATGTCTCTTTTATATGGTTTTATGGTTTTATCTGTACTGCCCTGAGTCATTTAGAGAGTGAGATGGGCAGTGTCTAAATTTGATAAAACACAACTTTAGATATGTCCAACTGTTCCGTATAAGGCTGCTTCTGTTGCAACCCAAACCCATAAAAACAACCTGAAACTGCCAGCCAATCATTGATTTCAGACCTAATGTTCAGGTTAGGAATGGAGACGAGAACAGTTTTTCCTCCAGTGGCTTTCTGTCTTGTCGCTCTTGATGGGATGCACCAGAAGCTGGCTGTTTAGCACAGCAGATAGATGGAAGCAATGCTGGGAACAACGTGTTCATTTCCTAGCTGTGTGTTTCCTGGTCCTTGCAATTCCGGCCTTGCTTTGGACTGTGCGGTGGGATTCAAAAAAAATTATTACTGGTTCTGTGGGCATGGCTTGGTCGGCCATGGCGTGGCTTGGTGGGCACGGTAGGGGAAGGATACTGTAAAATCTCAATTCCCTCCCCACTCTTGGGAAAAGGTTACTGCAAAATCCCTATTCTCTCCCCAGCCCACTAACCTGCTTTCCAGCTCCATTCTCCTGTGCACAGCAACAAAAGAAGAACCAGCCGATCAGCTGGGACTCGAATAGATGGGGGCAGGGCCAGTCAGAGGTGCTATTTGCCGGTTCTCCGAACTACTCAAAATTTCCGCTACCGATTCTCCAGAACTGGTCAGAACCTGCTGAATACCACCTCTGCTTATGGGCTTTGGAGTCTTCTTGATTCCTAAACCCTATTGCAGGTTTAATTTTCCTGGTGTACTTATCTTTGGGAACTTTGGGAACAATGAGACTTGTGGACCTATTGGCCATTGCTCTGTACACTAGCATTGGTTTGCTTTGGGACAGTTCTGTTTTTGGTCCAGGTGCTTCAGTGAGTGGTGCGCTGGATTTATATTAGTGAATATTATTATTCATATCCACGGAATTTAAAATTATGAATTTAGTGGTCCCTGAGATCCAAAAGGTTGGTGACCCCTGCACTAAACCACCATCATGTGCATGTGAGTGAGTGGGTCAGTTCACAAAGTCTTGACCAAAGTGAAAAACTTACATTTTAATTCTCTTGGGTTTTACATTTATGTCAAATATTCATTTCTATAGTTATAAAGTCTATTAATACAATTATATTACACCAGTACAGAATATGGCATGTTACTTTACATTGTGCTAATGTAAGCATTCATGTAATGTTAATTTAAAATGAAAATGGATGTTTTATACCTCTTTAGTATATGATCTAGCATATTGCTGCTTACCTAGTATTTTCAGATCAAAACAGGTTTCTTTGATTTCCTCATTAATGAAAATTTTTGCTGTGTAAGTTCCAGTATCCTCCTTTGAAAGGTTTTTGAGAGACAAATTGCCAGAGGAAGAATCAAAACTCCATCTTTGTTTTTCCTTTTCAGAAGGAATACTGAACCTGGAGCCAACCACTATATCTTCTCCTTTCTTCCAATAAATACTTGTTAGGCTGCCATTGCCTGCAACTGATGGTGCCAAAACAATATCTTCTCCTTCAACACCAACTATGGATATATGATTACTGCAATCTACAATCAAAGAAATAGAAAAATAGAATATAATCGGCCTGTGATAATCGGCCTTATCATATCCATCATATTGTATGCTTTTTTAGGTTAAGCATATTGTAAAAATACAGAAAGGGAGTAAGTAGTTGTGCTCTGACATGTGTGAGACTGTGCATTACAAAGAATAGACCAGCAGTCTAGAAATTGTAATATGAAGCAGATGAGGTACTAAGAAGACTCATGTCTGCATACAGAATTTCAGAAGGGCGAGGTAGGTCAGTTCCAATGGCTTTAAATCCTGAAGATGGGAAGGTACCAAAAAGACAATAGCTGCCTAATTTTGACAAGAGGTAAAAATGGGAGGAATATACAAAGGCCATCATGGATACACAGAGACCTCTGAAATGCTGAACATAAAAAGGGACAAAAATAAGAAATAGGAGGAGAACATAGTGTCTTACCAATTAAATATGAGCCAACAGTGGTGCAGCGGTAGCCAAAATGCAATCCTAAATTGCATTAACAGAGGGATACAATCAAGATCAAGTGAGGTACTGTTACCACATTATAAAGCCTTAGTAAGACCACACTTAGAGTACTGCATCCAGTTTTTGGTCACCACACTATAAAAAAGATGTTGAGACTCTAGAAAGAGTGCAGAGAAGAGCAACCAAGATGGTTAGGGGACTGAAGACTAAAACATTTGAAGAGCGGTTACAATTACTGGGCATGGCTAGTCAAGTGAAGAGAAGGACCAGGAGAGACATGATAGCAGTGTTCCAATATTTGAGGGGCTGCCACAGAGAGGAAGGGGTCATGCTATTTTCCAAAGCACCTGTAGGCCAGATGGATGGAAACTGAACAAGGAGAGATTTAACCTGGAAATAAGGAGAAACTTTCTGACAGTGAGAACAATCAACCAATGGAACACCTTGACCTTGGAAGTTGTAGGAGCGTCATCACTTGAGACTTTCAAGAAGAGATTGGACTGCCATTTGTCAGAAATGGGGGTTGGACTAGATGACCTATAAGGTCCCTTCCAACTCTGTTAATCTGTATATAGACCTGTATATTGTAGAAAGACATTATTCAGGATGCAAAAAGTTACACAAGTATGTTGGAGAAAGAACTGCCTCCTAAGGCATCAATCCCCAACCTTTTCAGCTTGGCAGCCTGGCCCAGCATGGTATATGTTTGAATGGAGGTGCACGCACACACGCATAGTTTCATTTGAAGAGGCACAAGCGGAGGGCACTTGTGCTCATGTGTGAAACTCCACTCTGTGCAAGCACCTGCCAGTCACATGACTGGAGCTTTGTGCACAAGCGCAAGTGCCTCCACTCACACAAGTGGCATTTTGCGTGCCCTTACCCATCTCTCCCATGGCCTGGTTTTGAATAGGCCACAGTCTGGTAGTGGGCCGTGGCCCAGGAGTTGGAGACCCCTGTCCTAAGGGAGAGCAGACATGAAGAATTTGCAGCCTAAGGTTGGGTAGGCAGAGTGACAGTTTAGCAGACAGCTAAGTCTGAGGGAGGAGCAGGCGTAGACTTCCTCAAATCAACAGCATGAAATTTGAAATGTGTTGTGGAGCGATGGTAAGGAAGAGGCATGAGACCAGAGCGTACAACTAACAAGGCTTTATTGCGGGGAATAAAGGGTTGTCGCGTCTGCTTGCTAACTTGCAGACTAGTGGGCGACAACGGGCTGGCTCTGCCCGACAGCCGGCTTATATAGCCAACTGTCAAACGGAGCCAACCAATGGGAGCGGCTGGTGCTCCCGCTCAAACAGCGGACCTGGTTGGGAACCCCCACCAGTTCCACGGACATAACACTCCTTTTCCCCAGCTGGGAACATGCGTAGTCCTGCAGGTAAGCCGGCTGCCTGCGCTGGCGACCAGAGCGTCTTAGTTCGGGTGAACTGTTGGCTGGCGACAAGTCCAGACCCTCGGGACGTGCCTCGACGGTCGTCGGGGCATGGGCTTGCTCTGGCACGGTGTCCTGCGAGGTTGGTGAGTCCCCTTGCTCGGGCTGACCCGGGCGAGTCTCGTGGTCCGGTTGGCAAACTGGAACGCTCGGCTGCTGAGTCGGTGACCCTGGCCGGAAACTCGGGTTCTCCAGTAGACCTTCCTGTTCGTCGGGGAAGCCCGGGTCCCACAGGGAGCTTCCGTCTGGCACCGGCAGGGAGACGTTGGCACTGGCAGGTCGAGTTGGGTTGGTATCAGCCGCGCGTCGCCTTCTGAGTTGGTCCACGTGCCTTCGCCACAAACGTCCATCTTCCAGGAGGACCCTGTAGGATCTTGGCCCTGTGACTGACACGATTTGGCCTGGTACCCACAAAGGATCCCCTGCATAGTTCCTGGCGTACACCAGGTCTTGCAAGGCAAAGTCTCGGACCAGACTGTCAGACCCTAAAGGGGTGTCTGGGCAGTAGTGGGGGTGTAGCCTGTCCAGGGTGGTTCTAAGTCGTCTCTCCATTAAAAGTTCGGCGGGAGATTTGTTAGTAGTGGTGCAAGGTGTCGTATGTTGGCTAAGCAGGAAACGAGACAGTTTAGAGTGCCAGTCTACCTGGCCAAACCTGGCGAGTGCCTCCTTGGCTGACCTTACCGCTCTCTCTGCCATCCCGTTGCTAGCGGGGTGAAAGGGAGCTGTAAGGACATGTCTGATGCCCAAATTAGCCATGTACATACTGAACTCATATGACGTGAACTGCGGGCCATTGTCAGACACCAGCGTGTCTGGAAGTCCATGGGTGACAAACAAACGGGTCAGGGCTTTGACTACTGCTTGGGTGGTGGTCGTGGGAAGCAAGGCCACGTCAATCCACTTGGAGTAGGAATCCACGACCACCAAGAAAGTCTTGCCATGCACTGGTCCAGCCAGGTCGATGTGAAGGCGAGACCAAGGGGCACTAGCACTTTCCCACCTGGTGGGCGTGGCGGCGGGCGGGGCAGCCCTGGTTTCTTGGCAGGGTTGGCAAGAGCTTACCCAGTTGGCGATTTGAGCATCCATGCCGGGCCACCAAACGTAGCTGCGGGCCAATGCCTTCATCCTTACGATGCCCGGATGGCCCTCGTGAAGCACCTTCAGGATGGGTACTCGAAGGGTGGCTGGGATGACTACTCTTGTGCCCCACAATAGACATCCCTGTAGCCTCGACAGTTCCTGCTGGCAGGTTTTAAAGGGAACAAAATCAACTGTACATTGAGTTTCTGGCCACCCCCTTCCCACCCAGTCCAGAACCTGGGCGATTATTTTGTCTTTTTTGGAGTGCGCCGCGATGTCTTCGGCTGTCACTGGAAGTTTGAGTTCGTTGACCTCAAAGATGGCGTGAATTGGTGCAGGGTCCTCGACTGGGACTGGCAGTGGGCAGCACTGAGGGCATTGGCATGACTCAAGTTCTTGCCAGGACGATGCACCAACTTGAATGAGTAGGCGGCCAGAAACAAAGTCCATCTGGTCATTCTGGGTGAAAGTACCTGCGGGGTTTGCTTATCTCCAGATAAAAGTCCTAGGAGAGGTTTATGGTCAGTCACAAGTTCAAAATGGTGGCCAAACAAGAATTCGTGGAACTTCTTAACTGCAGCAACCGCAGCCAGGGCCTCTTTATCGATTTGGCTGTAGTTCCTTTCTGCCGAGGAGAAGGTCCTAGAAAAGAAGGCAATTGTCGCCTCGGAGCCGTTGGGGAGTCTGTGGCTTAGGACAGCCCCAATCCCAAAAGGGGATGCGTCAGCAGCCAGGACCAGAGGAAGGCGTTGATCGAACTGGACTAAAACCGCTTCCGATGTGAGTAATGATTTGACTGATTTGAAAGCGTGGGCTTCTTTGGGTCCCCAATGCCATGGTGAGTCTTTATCTAAGAGTCTATGTAGGGGTTCAGTGACTGATGCTTTGTGCGGGAGGAATGAGGCATAAAAGTTTAGAAGCCCCAGAAAGGCTTGTAGTTCAGTCTTGTTGGTTGGTGTGGGTGCCTCGTGGATGGCCTTCACCTTGGACTCAATTGGGTGGATGCCGGAGGCGTCTATCCTATAACCCAGAAAGTCCACCTGCCTAGTGGCGATGGTGCACTTCTCCCTTTTAAGTTTCAGGCCATGCTGCCTAAACTTCTCTAGCACTGTCCTGACCCTTTGAATGAGTTGAGGTTGGCTCATAGCTGAGACTAAGATGTCATCGAAATACGGGACAACCCCCGGGAGACCTTGGAGAATCCGTTCCATGAGTGATTGGAAAATACCCGGGGCCACACTGACCCCGAATTGGTGGCGCTTACATTTGAATGCCCCTCTGTGTGTGACTATGGTTTGTAATTCAGCTGTCTGATCATCAACAGGGAACTGTTGGTATGCCTGGGACATATCTAACTTGGCGAAAATGGTGCCGGGTTCGAATGTGTGTAACAGGTGCTGAATAACAGGGACGGGGTATGCGCTGACCTGTAAATAACGGTTGAGGGTGGTTTTATAGTCTGCGCAGATTCTTAAACTGCCATCCTTCTTGAGTGGGGTGACTATGGGGGTCTCCCATTTGGCGAAATCAGTAGGTTCTAACACCCCTTGTTTAAGTAGTTTGTCTAATTCTGCGTCCAATTTAGGACGGATGGCGAAAGGCACCCTGCGTGGCTTAAGGCAGAGAGGAATTGCCTGGGGATCTACGGAAAACGAGATGGGGGTGCCCGAGTAGCAACCCAGCTCGCTGCTAAATACGTCAGAAAATTCAGAAAATAATGTATCTACGTCAGAAGTTGAGACAGCATGGATCCCAGTTACACTAAGGCCAAGGGAAGGAAACCAATCAAGTCCCAACAGGCTGGGGAGGGCACCATTAACAACCACTAAAGGCAAATGGCCTTTAAAGGCTTGGAATTGAATGAGGAACTTGCCTTTCCCGAGGACCGGAATGTTCTTGCCCTGATAGTCCCGCAGTGTCAGGTGGCATCTTTGGAGCTGTTTCCTTGACAGTCTGGGCTGGATCTTCTTCAGAGTGTCCCAGGAGATGATTGAGAGCGCCGATCCCATGTCTACCTC